GCCCTGCGGTGCACGACCCGCTGCGTGGCTTCTCGGGCAAAAGCGAGGCCCTTTGCTTTTCGCACACGTCAGCCGCTCTGGGGGCTCCCAGGGCGGGATGTTTCGTATCTGCCTGCTCTCCGCAGCGCCTCTGTTCCCCGCTGTTATCTTTGGCTCCGTTGCTATGGGCGGGAATATTTCCTTGTCCTTGTTTAATAACTGCTTGGCTGCCAGACGGGCCATTTCTCATTGTATCGGCGCAGGATTAGCCGCGAAGTTGGGGAACTATTTCCTGTATTAAGCAGCAGGGGAGAGCTAGCTGGGCCTGTGCCTTCTTTCGACATCGCGTCATCCTTTTTTCTCCATTTTTTCCCTTGGAATGTGCTGAGGCCAGTTATTTGCATCCAGAGCAGCAGCCCCTCCCTGACACTTTGCAGAGCTCCGTCCGTTTTCCAGGTGCCCCGCGGAAACACTGCTGGGGGAGGCGGCAGGGAATCTCGGGCGAGCACCCCGGCTGGTTTTCGATATTTGGGGCTCAACAGTGAACTGCATCACCAACCCACTTTCCAGGCGAAATCTCCTTTAAACCTATTTCATACTCCAGATTCTCTGACAGTTCACTCATCGGCCTCCTATGGGAGCCGCCAACTGATGGACAATTAACTCGAACCGGGGATTCTGTGTTGCCTAGAAGAGATGGGATATCAAGTTTACAGCTGTCTGAAACATTAACTGCTCGTAGATTTTTTTGGTATTGTGTGTTTGCCTGCGATAATCCTCAAAGGAATGGGAAAAGCTATTCAGAAACGTTACCGAAGGAAGACAAAAATCTATGAATTTTTGGCTCTTGATTAGCTTGAGATAAAGAATAAGTTCTCAGAGACCGGCTGAAAGTCACAACTACAAGTTTGGGGGCCGCGCAGTGGAAATGACATGGGCGGGTCTTAGGGAGGGAGTCTCAGGCTTGAGATCTGAGGTCACCTCCTCCAAACCCGGGAAATTGGGTAAGTCAGTTCATCTCTCTTTCCCACAGTTTTCTCATCGGTAACGTGGGGGTGATTCTGACTCACACGGTGGTTGTGGAGAATGTGTAGGAATGACTTACAAACGGCGCACATAATGTTGTTAGAGTGACAGGAAACCGTGTGTGAAAATATCTGTAAAATGACAAGAAGGGCGCAAGAGCTGACAGCTGCAGAGGCGACAGGGAACCCTGACAGAGACGGGAACGCACTTCAGAGTGGTGGGAGAACCATGTCCTCCTTGCAGCGGAGATTAATCCTCTTCCAAGACAATCTGCATCCTTTTCCTGAACTGGCGGGCTCCCTGCCGGACGGGGCAGAGCCCACCTCCCACCAGAGAAGTGCAGCTTCCCGGGGCAGGGAGGGCCGGGACCCAGGCTCCGCCAAGCCTGCTCCTGCCCCAGACTTCTCTCTGGAAGCCAGTCGTCCGAAGCAGCTCTGTTCTGGCTGCAGGAGGACGGGGGTGACCGCTACCTCCGGCTCCTGGA